AACTCTTCGTCGCGACACGCTGCAAACATTCGGGCAAATTTATCTTTCCCTACCTTTTTATGCGAGGGTTCCATTTTTGACATATTGATTTCAGACACTCACGGCAGCCTTTTTCGTCCGAACCGTCGGGACAATCGACAATAGAATCGCATTTGGCGATCTCCGGAATGCAAGTCCCATCCCCACACTTAAATTCATCCTCCGCACAATCTAATTAAAAAATGGATTCCCCATTCGTCCAAGCAATCCACCAATCGATCCATTCGACGAGAGGAGATTCTATTCTATACCGCAATTGAATTCGTCGGAGCCATCGGGGCAATCATCGTAGGACTCGTACTTGAATCTAATCAGGACACAGTCCCCCGTATCGCATCGGAATTGTTCCGCGGTGACATATGTGGGAAAAGGTGATTTGGCGAAAATCTACCGTACACACTTGGCATTGTTCATTAACGTGTTTATTATGCCTAAGGAATGCTTTTTTTTTCAAGCTGTCTAGACGCCTGAGATTGCATCGGCTTACCTACAGAGTATGGTCAAGAAAGAGCCCTTAGTTAACCGATTCGGTCGAGCGGAGGTCTCCGAAGAAGAGAGCCTTCACGCTCTCCGCATTACGGAGGCCACATCCAACATCTCATTCAATGAGATTCTTCATTTTAACTGGCCTTTCGATGTAGTTGGTCTTGATATGTCTTTCTCCTAACTAATTACTCATTTTCTTATGAAGACGTGAACTACTATTATTATCAACGTTCCAATTCCAGGCTTTCGTGTGTATAAGGTGGTTAAAAAAAACTCTCTACCGTTTTCTATGGGCGAAACACAGTTGCATAAATGCAGCAAAAAATACTTCATTGGATACGCGATCCATATTTGACAGTTAGAAGGTGTTGAAATGCTTGCCAGCTTTTTTTCATCACCCCTGTCTTAGTCTTGCAATGCCCATTTAGAGGTTAATTAAAAGGTGCTTACCCAAGCAGCATGTTTACGTAAACAAGATAGCAATTCTTTGCAAACAATGTAAATTTCTTGCGATTGCCATGAAAATGACATCACGTTTACGTAAAATTTACGTTCCTATATTTACGTCACCATAGTGTACTTGTATTTTACATAAACTGGACGTCACTCCATTTGACGTGAAGTACATAGTATCATCTTGACAATGGTTTGCGTAAAAATGATATAAAATGAACAAAAAATTTACATTCCACATATATGTGGATTTCCTTTTAAATAGAAGCATGAAATGGACACTGATTAATTAAACTTCGTGTCACCGATCACAACAATTCTTGCCAGAAACCAGTTAAGAAGTTGCTGCAATTACTTTTGAAGCTGTTTAGCTGACTTCAGTTGAACTACTTTAAAATTCACTTTAATTTTGACTTTAATGAAAATGAAGATGTTGTTTGTGTCTCCTTGTTTCTCTTTTATATTTACTGACCGTTTCAGACGAATGTTTCAAGGAAAAATTGCCATGAATCATACGCGATACACTCAGACTGGCAATATCTGGAAGAAGATCTGGAAGAAGAAGACCTTCTCATCGAAACTTATTTAAGTTAGTTTCGAGTTAACTGATTCTGAAATATAATTACTTTCCAAATCGATCATTCGTTCTTTCCTTGAATTTTGGCAATCTACCAATATAGAAATCAGATTTTTTCCAAAATTTATCGTAAATATCGTATTTATAAGTTTGATTTTCCTATTCGGTGGAATTACTGGAATCCGGTAGAGTCCTTAAGCTATGGGCATCAACTACGTCAGATACGTCGTTGCAATCGCTTTTCCCATCGCATCTCTGGGTCAACGGGATGCAAACCCGATTGGAACAAGTAAATTCCTGTTGTCCGCACGACACGTCCGTATCCGTTGCAATTACACCCGCCCTCACTTAGTCACCGTGTATAATACCCATCGAGAATTAATTACTTATGTATGGACTCACGGCAGTACAGTTCGTCGGATCCGTCCGAGCAGTCCTTCTTCCCGTCGCAATACGCGTCTGCTTCCACACATTCCCTGCTCCAACACATAAACTCTTCGTCGCTACAGGCTGTAAGCATTCGGGCAGATTTATCTTTCCCAACCTTTTATGCAGAGGGTTCCAATTTTAGCATATCGATTTCAGACACTCATAGCAGCTCTTTTCGTCCGAACCGTCCGAACAGTCCGGCGTCCCATCGCATCGGGATAATTTATGGATACAAGATCCATCATCTTCACATGTAAACTCCGAGTCTCTGCATGCTATATCACAACCATGAACTCAACTGATTTATTTTCAACTCTATCAGATCTGGCGTCCATTCCAATGGACATTGCATTTACATTGTGTCTATGATAACTTAGGATTCTCGTGACTTTGCGCTCCATATTACGCTACAATGGGCGCAATTATGCATTGCTCAGTTCCATCAAAGGCGTTCTCTTACGCATTAGTTTTTTAATATTCAGCTATTTAATTAAATGTTTAATATATAATATATGGCATGATATGGAAATTCATACAAAATATGAAAACTACAAATAAAGCTCGAAAATGTCAATTACAATCACAAAAGAACTCAAACTGTAAATAAAGACATTATTCCGGTAGCGGCCTTAACTCAGGTCTGAAAGGGTTAAATAGAAACATGCAATGAATTAATTACTTATGTATGGACTCACGGCAGTACAGTTCATCGAACCCGTCCGAGCAGTCCTTCTTGCCGTCGCAATGAGCGTCTGCTTCCACACATTCCCCGCTCCAACACATAAACTCATCGTCGCGACATGCTGTAAACATTCGGACAGATTTCCTTTTTCCCAACCTTTTATGCAGAGGGCTCCATTTTTAGCATATCGATTTCAGACATTCACAGCAGCTCTTTTCGTCCGAACCGTCCGAACAGTCCGGTGTCCCATCGCATCGGGATAATTTATGGATGCAAGATCCATCATCGTTAGCATGTTAACGTAACGTTATCTGCCTGAAAACTAGAGCCAAAAACACGGCATGCAAAAACCCAGAACTCACCGACTTTACAATCGACCTCGTCGGACCCGTCCTCGCAGTCCTCGACGGTGTCGCAGCGCCGATCCGCGTCGATGCACGCCCCGTTCCCGCACGTGAACTTCCCCTCCGCACACGCTGCATCATCGAGTTCCTCGCATTCAGCCGAGAGTCTGACGACGGACCGAGAAGGCAAAAATCGACTTGGAACTTACGGCATCCGAGTTCGTCGGATCCGTCGATGCAGTTGATGACCGAATTGCACCTCAGACTCAAATCGATGCACTTGTTCTTGCACTTAAACTGATCTTCGCGGCATGCTATTTACAACGCAATTCACATGCACTAGCTACAACCCATTGTACTGAGAACAAAAAATCAGGCCACTCTTACGGCATCCTCTTTCGTCGGAGCCACCGGGGCAATCATCGTAGGAGTCGCACTTGAATCTAATCAGGACACAGTCCCCCGTATCGCATCGGAATTGTTCCGCGGTGCACCTTACATACGTATTGTACCAAGACTAGCAATGTACACGTGCACCCATTCCAGAATACGACGTCAATACGACATGTAGAACTCAAACTGTCAACTAAGTAACCCTGTGCTTCTTACAGTAAAATTACTTCAAATATAATTCCTTTCCAATTCGATCAATCGTTCTTTCTCTGAATTTTGACAACCTTCCAATATCGAAATCATATTTTTCCGAAAGTTATCATAAATTTATGCGTTTGAGTTTCCTATTGTGTGGAATTACGGGAATCCGGTCTTGTCCTTACCCTGAGGGCATCCAACTTCGTCAGATCCGTCGTTGCAATCGCTTTTCCCATCGCATCTCTGGGTCAACGGGATGCAAACCCGATCGGAACAAGTAAATTCCTGTTGTCCGCACGACACCCCTGTATCTGCTGCAATTACACCCGCCCTCACGTAATCACCGTGCATAATACCCACCGAGAATTAATGACTCATGTGCGGACTCACGGCAGTCCAGTTCGTCGGATCCGTCCGAGCAGTCCTTCCTGCCGTCGCAATACGCGTCTGCGTCCACGCACTCCCCGTTCCGACACAAAAACTCTTCGTCGCGACACGCTGCAAACATTCGGGCAAAGTTATCTTTCCCAACCTTTTTATGCCGAGGGTTCCATTTTTGACATATTGATTTCAGACACTCACGGCAGCCTTTTTCGTCCGAACCGTCCGAACAGTCCGGTTTCCCGTCGCATCGCAAGGATTTCTGGATGCAAGATCTATCACCTTCACATGTAAACTCCGAGTCTCTGCATGCTATATTACAACCATAAACTCAACTGATTTCTTTTTAAATAGAAGCATGCAATGGGCACCGATTAACTAAACTTCACGTCACCGGTCACAACTATTCTTGCCAGAAACCAGTTAACAAGTAGTTGCAACGACTTTTCAGGCGGTTTAGCTGACCTCAGTTAAACTACTTTAAAATTCGCTTTCATTCTGCCCTTATTGAAAAAAAAAAAACAAGAAGTTGTGTCTCCCAGTTTCTCTTTTATATTTACTGGCCATTTCAGAAGAATGTTTCAAGGCAAAATTGTCATGAGTCTCACTCAACACATTCATTCTGGCAGAATCTGGAATAAGATAGCTACTTTCTCGTGGGAACTACTTTCAGTTGGTAACTAGTTAACTGGTTCTGAAATACCGGTAGGCAGTGCCCATCACAGTTCGGCGTTCGAGATTGTGAGAAAAGAAAATTAATTTCGTACGGCATCCTTTTTCGTCGGAACCGTCGGGACAATCGACGATGGAATCGCATTTGGCGATCTCCGGAATGCAAGTCCCATCCCCGCACGTGAATTCATCCTCCTCACATTCTAATTAAAAAATGGATTCCCCATTCTTCCAAGCAATCAATCAATCATTCCATTCGACGAGAGGAGATTCTATTCTATACCGCAATTGAATTCGTCGGATCCGTCGGGGCAGTCGGGGAACTTATCGCATTTGCGAGAGGCCTGGATGCACGTCGCGTCCTTGCAAGTGAACTGACCCGTACCACAGGCTACATACAAGATACACCCCCAGATCCCCACAATCACCAATCAGCGATCGCGATGACCGACGGTCAAATGGATGGATGGAGAGAGGGAGGGAGGGAGGACTCACGGCATCCGAGCTCGTCACCGCGGTCTGAGCAGTCTTGGACGCCGTCACAGCGTGACTCAATTGGGATACACGACCCGTCGCGACATGTCCACTCGTTACTCTTGCATGCTAAATGAAATTTGAAAAACAAACGAACATGCACGTCCGGTTCATGCATCATTTTCTGTCATGCATTTTCCACATGCCATGCAATATTGGAAATAAGCCTCGCAATATTGAAATGCAATATACTCGTACCATGCAATACCTGACGGAAAAAAAGCCATCTTACCGTTTTGGGAATGAGACAGTGTTTTTTGAGATTCTGATCTGCTGTTTGATTTATGTAAGCCATGCTGATAACTCGCAGAACAAGTGTATCGTTCAGGCTGACGACGTGTGTTTATTTGTACAAATTATGTACTGTGTTGTAATTATCGTCGCACTCGAGATCTCTATTTGTATAATCAGATAACGAGAAAAGGTGATGAGGCAGAAACCAGCCGTGCACACTACGCATTGTTTATTACCACGCTTCTCACCTCAAAGCCAGGCTTCTTTCAAGCCATCTAGACGCCTAAGATTGCATAGGCCTACATACAGGGTATGTCAAAAAAGAGTCCCTAGTTTTAACCAATAGATCTCTGCTCCTATTGATGAAGAAGAATCAGTGCTAGCGGTCGAGTGGAGGCCTCCGAAGAGCCTTCGTGCTGTGGACACAAAGGAGGCCACATTCAACATCTCTTCCAATGAAATTATTCATTTAAGAAAGCCTTTCGCTGCGTTTAGATATGCCTTTACCCCAATTATTAACTGATGAATTAATAATTGTGATATAGAGAGCTTGCTCTACGTTTTATATTTCCCCTTAATTAACGTTGGAGTAGGTGGCAGGTGCAGTCGTTCCAATGTGACTCCAGGCCCCCATTCAATTTCAACGTTCGATTTCTTTTGAACACAATCAACATTTTCGAAGCTGTTGGAAATAAATTAGTCTATGTACACGTACTGGGCATGTCTCGCGATAATGACTCTCGTAAAAGCAGAGATTGAAAGGTTTCACGTCGGGTTTTTCGGCACACCCTGCAAACAGATGCTAAACGGAGAGTGACATAAAATGGCATGGACTCGCAGAAGGGAAGTAGGCCGCATCGCAACCCAAGGAAGCAAACCCTTTAGAAAAGGAGCTTACATCCCACGAAAGGCAAGCCTCGATGGAAAAGCAGAACTTACCGCAGCCGCGTTCGTCGGACCCGTCGGAACACTCCTCTGTACCATTGCATCTTCCCCTGCTGTCCAGGCAAAAGCCGTCGGACCCGCATCGGAATTCGTCATCCTGGCATGCTGGCTCTGATACGTATCCCCCAACACAGTCAAACAGACATTCACAACAACGACCCCAAACTTCTATTCTATCAGACGATACTCAACAGAGAGACAAGAAGCCGATTGACTCAAGATGAGAGCAGAAATCACCAGAAAAGTAAATCGCGTGAGGATTTAAAAAAATATATATATTTAAAAGCTCCCGCGAAAAAAAAAGAGAATAAAGCCCCAGTTGTCTTAATTTTTTTTCTTTACTCACAGCACTCGATTTCGTCCGAGCCATCGGGGCAATCGAAAAGACGGTCACAAGTGAGCCAAACTTCTACGCAAGAGCCGTCTCGGCAGGTGAACTTTTCCCCGCACGCTGTGCACACATCCCCATTTTTTTTTAAAGAAGCAAATCATTACTATGTGGAATTTAAGACAAGAGTCTGGATCTGGAAGAGGGCGTGTTAGCGATACTCACGACATGAAAGTTCGTCGGATCCGTCTTGACATTGTCGGACGCCGTCGCACACAGCGCGGCCGTCCACGCACGACCCGTCCTTGCACGTGAATTGCTCCACCCCGCAAGCTACGATTTCGTTTCAAAAGCAACCCTTTCTCAACTCCTTCTCCCAGATGTATCTACAGACTAAGGCAACAAGGAGACCTCCGACATTGAACTCGTATACCTCCGCTTTTACTGAAGATACTTTCAAGAGATGTGTGCACTGTGCATTGACTGGTACATTTATAGCAGACTTGTCAAATTTCACCTTAATTCTTTCCGTCAAAGGATGGCTGTGAGCGCTTATTTAAAATAAATTGGAAGTTGAAAACGGACGTTCCATACCATTCTCCGAATTATAAACGCGAAATTCTGAGGAAACTCGGAGGAAACATTCCATTGATCTCCATTGATTCAAGCATTTATTGGGAAATTGGGAAGTGGGGGGAGGGGGAGGGCGAGGGGGAGGGAGGGATGACTTTTCCAAGCTACTTTCAATGAAAGGCCATTGAAGGGGGAGGGGGGGGGGGAGAGTCGTAATGGGAGAGATGGTCGATGCGCCCTCCACTACATGCAGGCACAGCGTGAAGGCGTTTCCTACGCTTCGCTCTCAACACGGGATCCTGTACGCCTTCGGTATCAGATTTCTCTTAAGTAATCGCTCAGAACTCTGCTCTGGTAAACGAATTTGGATTAAATTTCACAGATCTGAGGTGGTCTCATCAGCTTGTGCATAGTGCACGTTTCATAGATGTATCTTCTGTAAAAATGGAGACATAGGGGTCGGGGATCTTTTCGTGCCAAAAGCCTGCAAATACGGTCCCAGACATTTCAGAGGGATGATTATACTTACGACACTGGAACTCGTCGGATGCATCGGAGCAATCGGAGTTCCCATCACAGACTCCCGATTCAGGTATGCATTTCCCGTCTCCACATTTGAATTGACCAGCTACACAGTCGGCTATCACGTATATACATTAGAGACAGTGTCACGAACACCGTGCACAAACGACACGAACAAGACTAGGACCAAAAAAAAAAGGAATCTATGCGTGCAGCAAAATAACTAATGGAGGTGCAGAAGCACGAAGACGAAGCACGTGCAGGCACAAAAGCGGAATGAGATTCCATGCCAAGAGGAGATTTTTGAAACAAACCCCCAAAAGAAAATCAGGCTGAAGTGTGCATGCAATCCAAGACGGAATGAGTTTATACTTGACAACAACAAAAAAATTTAAGCCATGAAACACTCGCAGGAATTTCATGAAGACTGCATGCACCAACTCTGAAATCCCAAGGACTTTTTAATGGTAAAAGTTTTCCTTCTTGCGTCTATTTAATAGGAAAAGCTCCGTTTCGGCATATACGATCAAAACTTTCGCATCGGAACATTATACAAAATGGCCCAATTCGGTCTAACCTAAGGAAGGTGGGAGGAGGATATCCGCCCGCCGTATCGCACGGCAGACGTGCAAGAATAACCCACGTAAAGAAAGAAATCATTTTTCCAAACAGGTCAGGCGTGGAAAATGTTCCTGTCTGTGTTCCTCTTTCTCCAGCCCCATTGGAAAAATTCTTCCTAAGCCACGATATCTTGGTTTCCTTCAAGGTCTCTGCGAACGCGTGACGACCATTTGGATACGTGCCGAGGCCTACCGCGATGAAGAAAATAATGCCAAAAGGAGCGCGGCTCGCCAAGGGAACACGATCTAATCGGGATAAATCCGAGAAGGAAATCCGAGACGGCACGTGTTGGGTCATACCTGGGAAGGGAGGGAACTCCTGTTGGGCAAATCCCGGAATCGTCAACAACAAGGCACTGAAAGTGTAGATCATCCAACACTCCATGCCTGTTTTCGGCTTTTCTCACGGTCCACGTCTTTTTTCGTCACGAAATTTGGGAAGTTGAAAAAAAAAATCACGAGAAACGCCTCCTTATCGGGATTAAAGATGGGAACGACCTTTCGTCTGGGTGCACCGAAACCGTATGGCAAGAACCGACATTCTCTGCCAAAAAACTTTCGAGTGCCAACTTCTTCACGTTCCTCTTCTTTCCCTCTTCGCCAAAGATTATGCCGAGATTCCCATCGTTTCACTTCACGGGTTTGGCATCACTGCCAACCAGACCCACCACCTCGTTATCGGCTGGAAAGTATCAGGACTCGTGCGGGCGTCTAGAGGTGAAAGAATCACCGCACGAGACGGTAACCCGCAAGTGCGACCACAAGGAAAGCCGAGACAGGAATGAAAACCGAACAGCCGAAACACACGACGTGGGCGCACTCAACGTGGGGGCACGCGTCCCTCCCGAAGATCGAGTGACGGGTTCGCCCTGCGGTCGGCCCGGTCTGGCCTCGTCCAACCACAGCGTGGGCATATTCGAACTGGCAAGGGTGATCGAGTGGCCTGGTCTGGCCTTTGCCTCTATTGATTCCATCATCGGTTTATTCCACCCACGTCTCGAGCGTGGGAATCATTTACGAGGGTACTTTCGCGAAAAAGTTATGGGCGATATGCATCAATATTCTAATTGAAAGTATTCGTATTCGATACGCATGCTCTCACAATGGGCTTCAATGGGGATTCGTACCCATACTTTTTCACAATGGGCTTCTACGGGGATACCCTCGGCGCGGTTGAATGGATCGGGCGCATATCATCCTGAATCACGGTATGTGCTAGCTCGTTTCCTCTAATCTTTATCTCCTGCTTTAATTTCACCTGCGACAAATTCCACGACATTCCCAGAATTTCCATCTATTTTTTCCCCCCACTTTTTCTTCTTTTGCAAATGTGTTCATCCGTCTCAATTTTACCTTTCCTAATTAGTTTTAGTTTTCCGATTCTCAATCATCTCGCATTCCGCGACGCCACAAACAAAGCGCCACCCACGAATTCCTCTCGCAGACAGATGTAGACTCCGATCCTTCGACCCCGACCGACGAGCCGGGGAGGGCCTGGAAGGGCCTGGAAGGGCCGTGCTACTTGATTCCCCTCTCGCGGGTGGGCAAACAGTCTGAGAGGACCCACGCACGGCATCGCACCCTTCTGTCTCTGCGAGGAATTATTCCAGACTTTTTTTATTTTCGTTTCCGAGAAGTTTCGCGAAGCGTTCGACGGGAGAGCCAATCTGCGGAGGGGGAACGTGTTTGCCCAACACCCCAGATTGGAGGCGAGGAACTCGAACGCAAAAAAAGGGCAAAAAAAAAGCGAGGCCATGAATAATGCAGTGTCACTTGTGACAACATCTACCTCCCATTCCCTCATTTCCAATTATGCATTGTTCTCTTTCTCTTTTTTTTTCGCCCCCACAGACCACTGACCGCGGAATCTCAAATTGGCACACTCCTTCCGTCCGGATGCAAATTTGGCGCCAGAGACAGCGGAAACGTCGCGAGGGACCGGGGTCGAGTGCATCACGGCGATTTCGCTCGTAAAACGCCACCTTTCCACAGAAAAAATTCCGCCTCGTAAAGTTGACAGGAATTTATTGCATCATTACGATCCCTGGGTCCCCAAACAAAAAAAATTCAATAATCTCGAGTTTCAGGGAGGAGGGAGGAAGCTCTTGTCACCTGTCCTCACAGGCTCTCAAAATCGCCGATAAGATAAAATAAAACCTTGAAACAATCGAGATTCCCCCCCCCCCTCTTCTCCCCGCCCCGCCCCGCCCCGCCCCATAAGGGAAGTTATAAAGCATCATAAAGCAATTCTCTCATCCTCGGTCCGAATTTTCTGTTGATTTTAAGATCGAAACTCCCCCAAATTATCAGCTCTAAAAGTACACAAACCTCAAGTGTTGACATTTCGAACTCTCGAGTTTCGGCATTCTTTTCCAATTCTGATCAAACTTTACCCGGAAAAAGCGGCAGATGTCGGCGAGGTCATCGGGTACGGGCAACGACCTTTTTTATCACTCGATGAAATGCGATAAGATAGACTTATTTTCCGCTTCTCCATATTTAGATACGGAAAAAAATGCGGGGATCTTCTTTGTCTCCCACTTCGCACGAATGCCTTTAACTTGGGCCCTGATGGATGAGATTCTTCCCGGTACTTCCCCCGGTACTCGAGCCACTCCCATCCCCAAGAGGCAGCGCGGAAATTCAAAGCTGACAGTTTCGTTCCCTCCGCAAACGGCCCGAAGGCGCACGTAAAAATCGCGATGCAGCCAAGAAGCGAGAAGCGATCCCAGTTTCCCGCCACTTCATTAGTCGGCGTGAAGCGCATCAGCCCTCCAGAAGAACCTTTAAAAGCAGAGCTGGAAAAAAAAAAGAAAACGGCGACTCACGTAAATCCGGACATTTGACCTCGTCGGTTCCGTCCAAGCAGTCATTTTTCCCGTCGCAGAACTTGCTCTGATCCAGGCACTTCCCCGCGTCGCACTCGAACTGATTCTCGCCGCATCCTACAACAGGGGTCAAGGCGTCATCGGGATGAATCCTCCAGGGGGCAACGGGGGGCAACGGGGGGCAACGGGGGGCAACGAGGGGCAACGGGTGCCGGGTCACGTAGGTGGGAAACGAGCGCGAAGACGCTCCTGACATCTATCGGACGAGACCATAAGGCAAAGCTTGACGCGACACCGCTAGAGCGTCCCCGCATCGCCTCTCATGCATTCCGGATCCGTCGTCTCTTCCCCTCGTAAGCTTCTACGATCCCATTTACAGCGTTTTTCACTTGAGTTAGACATTTTTTCACTTGACTTCGACAACGGTGCATGGTGAGGGTGATATAGCACATATGAAAAAGCCTAAATATTCGAAGGAAAGAAAGATGTCGCTAGTCACCAGGGGCACCAGCGCCCTCGCCTCCTCTCTGAATACCCCTCGCATCGGTGTCTTAGTCAAGTGAAAAATTGTCTAACTGAAGTGAAAAACACTGTAATGCGGAACGTACAACCGAATTGAAGTCCGAGGACAAAAAAGCGCGGAAACGGAAGGATGTTTGCATGAGAATGCGAGCACTCGCCGAGCATAAAGGAGATCTTTCTTCTCGCTTCGCAGCCGTGCGGCGGAGCCAAGGAAGGCGGGAGGAAAGATGCGGTTCGCGACGGGGACTTCAAGGGGAGTCGCGATATTAAAATTACGCTTTTCTAAAGGTATGCGCATGCGGAAATCTATCACGAGCAATATTATTATTATCAGGCTGGCACTTTGACGAAACGCCGATGTTTCCGGGCAGACCTCGGTCGAAAGCGCGCAAAATTCCTGCGAACGTTTCGAGAGATGCGCTTCCGACTCGTACCGCTCTGATTATCGATCATCGACCCTTTTCGATTATCGCCAGTCTTTACACTATCCCCAAACGAAAGTTTCCCCCGAAAATCTCTCTTGAGGCGCAAACGGAGGCGGTCGCTGAAACTTCTCTGAAATAGCGGACCTTTATTTTTTATTATTATTTCCGGACGATTATGGACAAAAAGAATTCCTTCGCTCGAGGTCTTTTCACATCGCCTAAAAAAAGGTCTCGACATTCGGGTCTGGTTTCTCTTCCCTGCGCTTCCTTCCAAATTTCCCCGTTATTTCCGAGCGCGGAAATTAGCTACAATACGAACGGCACATGCAACGCATAAACAAACAAAACCCTGAAAAAGACACCACGACACCGATAAAACACACAACCGATGCGAAACGTCACGAGCGGTGACGGCTCGGTGACGGCTCGAATCACTCACCTTCTGCCCTCCCTCCGCTTCCTCCTTTTCGTGCTTCCTAGAATCTATTGCGGTCGTGAAAGGACGCTCGGGAAACGACGGCAGATCGAGGGGGTGATGGACATTAAGTGCCCTCTTCACGTCGAGGGTTTACTTTCGCCCCTCGGATGGGGCGAGGGGATTTGAAGGGAAAAAAAAAGAAAGGGAAAATCGGCTTGCACGGGGAACACCCAAGCTGTGAGGATCAGACCAGGTGAAAAATGACCACAGCACAGGTGAGAAACGGCCACAGCACAGGTGAGGAATGGCCACACCTCGGGTGAGGATTAGTAGCGCACACGGACACGATCGTGCGGGGTTGTTAGAAGCGTCATTCACGATCACAGAGGTTAACAAACGCGTGATGAGGCGGGGGCCTTCCCTTCAGGTAAAATGCGTGTTTCGCGATGTAGAAACGTCGAGCTTGTTTCCCTTCGTACTCGCGACTGTGCAACTGATATTTATTCAATATATTTACCGTATCGATAATTGTATAAAAAAAAAACACATAGGTTCTATTTACATACACGTTCTCTACTCGCCATTTAAAATTTAAAAAAAATCTGAAAAACATACTAAAGTCAAATCTTTCGCGACGTTCCAATGCTGGCTTATGATAAACGAGAACGTTCCGTTTTCGATATGTCGACATTTCCGCCTTCCATCCCAATGATCCGCAGATAAGTCGCACACACATCCGCTCTCTCAGGAAACTACGAACCAGAAACAGGTATTAACAAGTTGGAGTTGCTAGGCATCAAATGAGTTCTGGACCTATCTAAAGTCTAATACTTTAGGCGTTATTCATCCAACTAATGCATTTATTTTAGCAATAATTGCTCATTTGATAAAATACATACATCTAAAGTATTTCGCATTCACGTTCTTTCGAATTTACTTATTTTGAACACAAAGGTCCCCCCCCACGGGCGTCCCCCACCTCATCACGAGCCCCAGCCCAAGCCCCAAGCGTGCACGCCAAGACAGAACAAGCAGGGCTGGCGGCGAATCTTTTCAAGCCGGTTGCTGTCGCGTCGAGTGTCGCACCTGCAAATTGGGTGACGCGTGTAGGGCAATTGAACTCGTCATCCCCGCCGGGGCAATCCGGAATCCCGTCGCATTTTTGCACATTGCAAATCCAAGTGGCATTGTCCTCGCAGATCACCTGGTCATCCCCTCTACACTTGTTCTGACCCTCGTCAGGCGACTCCGGACCGCCCACGAACACGTCTAGCCAGGCATAGTCCATCCATGCATGCTCTCTGCTTTTTCATGCCTTTTTTTTCCCTTGCATTGTTCATGCACTTGCATTTCAACATCACAATATCTTCCACATCCCAGCAGTCGCCCTATCTACTCGAGGCGAAAATGTTCATTTTCAACGTTATAGATTACGATACAATTTTCAATTTCGTTTATTTTTCATTTATCTTATTCCATTTATCTTGGTGTTCAATAAAATCATCCCCAGAATATTAATACAACTGGGTCAAGCATTACATGAATTTTTCTTCGTCCTGATGTCATCTTATCTCATGATGGCATTGTATGGGAATAATATCAGTCAATGGCGTTTACTAATCAGCCTTTTATGAGGACGTGGACAATTCTTATTATCTAAAGTACAAATTCCTAACTTTTATGGGTATTTAGTCTGCGCATCCCAGATCCGGAACGTTGACCCGGTGTGATTCACACCGCGGCACGACCTTCGCAGACCCGGTGCGAAAGCGACTTCAGATGTGAGGTCACCCGCGATACACAACCATGATGCAATCTTGGAAACAGCAAATTCCCAAACATCTGAATTCAACGCTTTTTTTATATTTCAGCTTCAAAAGGATGGCACGAGGGCTTTCCTCTTCGTGTGTTTCGTGTGGAATGATATGATCTCCCGCACGGAGAACGATGCTGGGGTGACGTTGAAAGAAAACATAACCAAACCCCATGGTGCCGAACTCCGAGAAGAGTCAGCCAACAGCCGTTAGAGCAAGAGGAGGGAGGAGGAGGAGGTCTCCCAGTGCGACGAGATCCATATCTACCCCTAAGGAGCATGCGCACGGCGTCTGCAAGAAGCCTTCCAGAGCAGGAATGGAAGTGGCCCAAAAGAATCACGTGTTCTCAGACCAAAGGTCACGTGACTCTCAAGTCGCTCCCGGATTTGTGGATCGTCGCATCGCGATCACGTTCTCAGGGGAATGCCTGGGAGCGATCCGCCATGCCTCAGATGCCTTCCTCACACATACTGTAGCGGCTGATGACGTTCTTAATGTGGAACTAGTGACGTCATGGGTGACGTCACCTGTTCCAAGCCCCTTCCTGTCCTCTCGCGAATGCGTAACTAAAATTCCCAGCTGGTATTCCCATAGAGACTCATCATGAAACCAAATGAAACAGATATTATGAATATTACTTTATTTTATAGATATAAAAATGCATTAGCTGCTTTCGACTGGGATGTGGAAGATCCCCCAAGTAGACCAGAATCTCTGAACCACAGTTTAGAGACACAGGTCGAATCCATCATACGGGATCATTAGGACAAGATGAAACATGAAGAAAGAACATATTAGATGCATACATTAGGACATGATTCGGAAGACCATTCACGGGAAAAAAAAAGTTCGTATAAACAAGAGAGTTTAGTGCAAAGTTTTTCCAAGACAGGACTGGAAGACTCAGGTTGCTCGGACCACTGAAAAAGGAAACTTAAAGCTGAATCTTTGCTCATCCTTTCAGTTCAGCATGACAAAAATTGAAAATGCAAGTAAAAAAGCATGATTTCAATGTCCATAGCAAAAAAAAAGAGCATGCTTGCTGGGATCGTGTCTCAGCCAAACCGACGCATGCAATATGACAGTCATAACCAAAATGCAGCTCCGCGATGTTCTGCGTGTCATCTTCCTGGAATGTATGCTGCACTGGGAACCGGAAGTTTCCGAAACGACAAGACTTACCCAGGGTGCTACAGCCGAATTCATCGCTGCCGTCGGTGCAGTCCCTCGCGCCGTTGCATCGGAGTGACACCGACACGCATTCTCCTGTGTCGCAGACGAAGTCGTTCCCACAGCTTCTGAGTGACGCTGTGAAGGAAATATCGCCAAGGTCATAAAGATGACAAGCCGAGGACTCGTCATTCGATTTACTTGTCTTGAAATTTTTACACAGTGCAAAAAAAAGCTTTTCGAAGTTTTAAAAATAAATTTTAAATGAAAATATTCATTTATTCTTATTTTCAAATTCGTCTTTCAGTTCGACTCTAGCCATTGACGATTTGATCGACTCACGTTGAATGTCTCTGAGGTTGAGACCAGAGCTTTCCTCCTTCACGTTGTACCGACCGACGACGCCGGCACTGACGATACTTCTTACTGATCGGCTCAGGGTCTCCTTATCCGCCCCCGTCAGAATATCAATCGTCGCTCGACAATAATTCTTGCTCGACACTTCCACCACATTCCTACGGCAACACACCTCCATGTACCAAAAGAAAAAAAAGAAAAGAAAACAGCGAAAACAGAAGGATGTGCGCACTCGATCCTGCGAAGAGTGCAGGTGGCTTTCCCCGGAAGGGAGAAGAAGAGATCTCGAAGAGCCGACTCCATTTCGTCGGCCAAGCGACGAAATTCCGAGCTTTCTTGGTCCGACAGTGATACGGTGTACTGTTGATTGACTAGCAGCTCAAACCGATATGATTTCAGTTCTGTGGTGAACCGCCACCCAAGGTCCGAAAAGAAACCAGAATGGTACGTTAGTCAGAAGGTGTCATGGGGAGTACAAAGATTCCTGACAATTCGTTCCAAGATTTACTCGTGGAGCAAGGATTTCTGGGTTTGCCTGGAGATGGCAACACTGAAGTAAAAGATGGACTAACCATGGATTAACCTTTTACATCCCACGCCCGAGTATGCTCGTGATAGCTCTGTGGGCTGTATCGCATTCGGTCCGATTCTGGCTCCATTACACGCACGCACGCAGCTTAGGAAACTCGGGAGTTAAAGGGTTAACAAGTTTAACCTCGTGGTTGAAACCCTGACACCTCGGAAGCAGACGGAAACGGGACATGAATATTCATCATGCCAAACTGCCACTCCAACAAAGGGAGTAAAAGATGGATCCCCACATATCATCATCCGTTCGGTAACCCTCACCTATCCCCTACCCCCACCGTACCCCTACCCCCCACATACCCCTAACCCCTACCCCTCCGCTTCCTCTACACTGAGAAAAATCCATGTGTCAAATGAAGCACAAAAGTGGGTCCTGGAACGTCTGGGCCACACGGAATAATGTGACATGAGTTTTGACGCACTGAAACATATCTTTTGGCACATCTTACTACATCAGTAGGCATATTTAAATGTGCCCAGCCTCATGACATGTTATTCCGTGTCCCCAGGCCATAATCCAGACGTATCAATGGACACACACTGTAGTGTGTCGTGGGACACATTTGGGCGAGTCCATTAGGATATTCTCTCCTCCTGTGTGTCACTTGACACATCTTACTGCATCTCGAGACGAGTTGAAATGTGTCAACCCTTGTGGCACATTTTATCGCAACCGATATGAAATAATTCTCTCATGACACATATACGGGCGTCAAATGATACATTATATCGTGTCATTTCTCTCTGTGTACCCCAACCTTTCAATCATAGTACTGCGATGTTCCCAGTGTCAATCGCAAAGGTCGAGAATCAAACATATGGTCTACATGTCCTTAACTTTAGACTCCGCCCATACCATCACGCGAGTTGGAAACGGAATGGTTACTGATTAAATCCAGGAATGAAAACGTTATAACGAAGGAACGGCTTTTGAAGTGCGCGCCCTACTTCCTTTCCACTCTCTCACCACGATCGATGCCAGGTGACGGTCCAGAGTCGGTCCCAAAAATATTGTGGTTCGTGTGCCTAATAGTTTTTCCTCGAGAATAGACTTAATATCCAACGGATGGATCGAAGAGGACCGCCTGAACTCGTGGCCCCTCACATGGAATAAGTTTCCAAGGTGCGAGGCAATATCAATTACAAATGGTTTAATCGGCACTCAACACACGCTGGTTATACCCTTCTCCACCGAGAAACGAAAATAAATAATATTTATTTTTTATGAGAAATTTCTAGATTTCCCACAGGGGGAGGATCTGACCTGGAACAAAGGTGTCAGGTAGGTCCCCACTTCCCTCCAAATCTCCGTGATGACCCGATCCCTCGAGATCGTAGTCCTCGTCATCCGAGAACCTGCCTTGACGATTTTGCGCCGTGGTCGTCGTGGTCGTCGTCGACGGGTCGTCGTTCACATTACCCCACGGCCATCCCCATTGGGGACTTCGCTTTTCCCTGGTACGGTGCAGTGCTTCGTTCAAGGCATCTTCGAATACTAAATCGCCGTCCTCTCCCTCGCCCTGCAACAAGACACAGTTCAATCCATCGAGAATCGAAAGGAAATCCGTGCTTAGTAAATACGTTCTCATTGGCTGTTTTCAGCTTAACTTTTTTTTTAGTTGGCGGTCCAGGAAGTTTTAAGAACAAAGACGGCTTCGGCATTCGAAAGCATACAGAACGCGCCAGGTGATTCGACGTGTTATCTAAGAAAGGTCCTTGAATAAAAATTCTGTCTCTATCTCCGGCCTCGGTAAGTACACGCGGGACGAACTGCACATGAGTGCCACGATGGGGAGATAGAGCTCCTCACCAGCCTTGAGAATCTCGCAGACGCGACGGACTGCCTCGACAGCCATACGCCATCGACTCTCTCCGCCCGATCACATGGAAGCAAGGAGCCTCCAAGCAACCCGGCGGGATGACCCGCACCTCCTCCTCGCGAAAGAGACGATTACCAGGGCGGAACGTGACCGCGACTGCAGACCGAGTTCCAGACGATCGCGCCGGGCTTGAAGACGCCGGCTGACATCTCGAGTGATTGATGGCGACCGACACGAAACATTCTCTAATCGATTACTCGCTGCATAAGTAATTAATTATTATCTTTAAAGACTTTCGTAGGCCCCTTGCATTTCAACTTTCAAAAGAACTGTCCAGGTGAAAGCAAATTAATTTTTGTTTGTGGAAACCGGTCCGAATCCATCGGGATTCTAACCAAGCTTGACTTTTAAAAAAAAGCGCAGAGATGAATAATTTTTTACGCAATTGGTACTTCCTAATCCCTTTGAAAAGTAATTTAACCAATTCATAAGTACCTACTACTTAATCTTCCTTGAATCAATTATGCTAATTACTTGTGNTCTTCCACTTCATCTCCTCCATTAACTCCCTTGCATTATTCATCCTTTCTCGTTCATGATGAAATTTATCAAGGCTCAATGCCGACGGGAGACCCTAACGAAGACTGGCCATTTTCTTACCGCGGACTCCAAGACGTTTCGACTCGACCGAGCCGATGCGAAAATAGTGCCAACAAGATAAATGCATCACTAGACGGATTCCCAAGGCCATTATTTTGCCTGGAATCCGGTGTCGTCGAAGGCGTAAAACGATACGGGGGGGTAGGACCCAGCTAATAGAAAGGGCCAATATTTGTGCTTCTTTTTCTCCTCGGTCCAGAGAAGGAAAGAAAGACAATAATAAATGACGGGGGAGGAAGAGAGGGGGTTCTCGAAGCTTCTGCATACATGCACGGGATGGAATTGCCTGACGGGGTGGATGGTGTATATATGGTGTATGGGGTGGATGGTGTATATATATGGTGGATATATGCGCGCGATAGCACCACTCAATTTTGGCTCCATCGCGTTCTAGGGCTCCCCCATCTCGACGGATTCTGCCTAATTGGAGTCGATCGGTGCCGCCAGCAGACTCTTTCTAGATTAATTGCATTCCCTTTTCTTTATCTGCCCCGTCGACTGAAACATGTCTTGTTTCAGCCAGAACAGACACGGAGTTCATTCTTTCCACTTCCTTAGCTGGTGTCAGGCCGGGCAAAGCCTCAATCCACGACAGACTTTATCTTTCTAGGGAAGGGGGGGCCGATGCTGAACTTGTCTTATATGGAGATGGGGAGGGGACAGTCTTTTGTGGGGACCATCTTTCTTCCTTTTGTTCCTCCCTAAGGGATTCTCAGGGATTACTTGCTAAGCCCTCCATTGGGCAAATTATCTACCCTCGATGAAAAAGATCTTTCCCCCTCCGAGCCGAAAGAAACGCATATGAAGGAAGGGAAAGTCCGGCGGTGAATCGAGCCTTCGACTGTACATAGAGAGTGTTCCCATTTCCGGAGTCTCTTTCCTGTCTCATTTCCTGGACAGCACCTCGAGCTTAAAAAGAACATGGAGAATTTTTTTTTTTTTGCTTTCTCCTTGAGAAAACAGCAGCCTCCCACGCGAGAGGTTCACTTGGCTTTTTAATTCTAGAGTTTCAATGGTTTTAAATGCCCAGATGCACGAAGGCCTTGGCGCAATTTTTTTCTCTCCATATTTCGTTGAAATGCTTAAGATGTTTGCAGAGAACTTCTTTCACGAGAGTGGAGCAAAAGGTTTGCCTTCGGGGCCCAAATACTGGGGCCACATACTTACACTCATGCGCACTCTCATGCACACACACACACACACGCACACACACACACGCACACACACACACCTGTCTCTTTCCCACGGACATCCCTCATGGGAGACAATAAAAGGCCGTGAATCTTTTTCGCACCTAGTCGCATCCATCTGTCCCCTGCCCCCCCCTGACAACACCTACGCGGGGGGTTTCGATGTTTACGAACCCTCCGCAGGATGTCTCATGTCCCTCGTAAAATGCTAATGGGAAATGCTAATGCCCCGATCGAGTTCCGTCGTGGACGTCGCGGGGCACGGAGAGTGGATTTTCGTTTCGACTGCGATGCGATTCGGGGAAGGAAGGAAGATGGGGGAGGAGTCGGGAGAAATCTTCGCAGGGAGGAGAGAATGGGCATCTGGGGCCATTAGGGTGCACGGCCAGATATCATCAGTCACATGAAGACGATAAAAACTGCTCCGATGTTCCTCGTGGAGGATTTAACCCGGGAGGAGAGGAGTGGCGTCGTGGACGCGGTGCTGGGAGCGAGGGGAACCTGTTCATCCATCATTTTCGTCATCGGGAACCGGAATGCATTCGAAAGAGTGGGGATGAGGGGGTGGGGGATGAGGGGGTGGGGGATGAGGGGGTGGGGG